TGCTTTTCTACTTGTTTTTGTTCCATGTTCTTGTTCTCCTTGTTGTTGTTTTTCTTATTCTTATAGTTGTCCTTGTTCTCGTTGTTGTCGTTCTTTTTGTTGTTGTCGTCGTCGTCGTCGTCGTCGTCGATTAGTTAAATAGTAAACAGTCTGTTGCCGCTTATTTTTCTGGTTCCGACTGTTATTGTATTTATTAAGATTTTTATTATTGTTACTATAGTTTATTTATTGTAAAGGGTGCCGTTTATTCAAAATATCCTATCGGGTCGCTTTAATTTATTATTATACAAATGTCTTGTTTACTTGGCATATTTTCAAAATAAACAATTTCTAGTTCTTCATTTTGTCTTATTGTACCGAAAATTAACCGAACTGAGCCCTCCTTGAAATTGAACCGAAACGAACTGTGATTGTAGCATACTGTTACACTCCTAACGTGGACCGAACCGAACGTGCCCTACCGAAACTGTTCGGTACGCCCACGTGTACAGTTACACCCCTAGACAATACATTTTAAAGGATTTCAATATTATCAGTTTTTCCCCTCAGGAACACTAGAGTGTAGTAATGTTACTGTCAGGTTATGGGAATATTTGAACAATAAAAATATTTTTTTAAACTTTAATATTTTTGGGCTTTGTCAGGAATAATCATGTTGACTGACAACACACAAAAAAACACAGATATAAATAAATGTGTGAAGTCGAGTGTTGGAGCCCAAAGTGTTTTATCCTTTTTAAGTTCCCTCAAGTCAGATGTGTTTTTAATACAACAATGTGCAATACCTTTTTTAACTAATTACAAGCAATGGGAACAACTGTGGCCACACAAGTCAATATGGAGTGGATCAAACAACAACAGGAATGATGGGGTGGCCATTTTAATTAATAACTCACAGGTGTTGGTGAAGGGAAGCACTGTGGTAAGAGAGGGTCGAGCACTTTTAGCACATTTGTCTTATGTGGGATAGGATTTTAAACTTTTCAATAATTATGACTTTAATGAAACGAATGATGGGTATGACCTTTTAGAGTAACTGCAATCCACCATGCTGTGCAGGGTACCATTGATTATTGGGGGAGATTTTAACTGTATTTTAAGCAGGATGGATAGGAAAGGTGCAGGGGGATTTTAAAATAGACAAAACATCAGTGTTACTCCAAAACATATTTAGAGATTTTAAGTTAACCGATTGTTTTAGAACTATGCATCCAAGAGAGAAGGGCTTCACCTGGTTCAGTGGTGATGGCAGAGCTTCTCGCATAGATTTTTTACTTACTAAAGACTGTCCACCAAAGGAAACTAAATTAACCCGTTTTTTTCAGATCTGATGATTTCCAGCACTCTTACACTTTGTTCGGGTGTAACAGTGGGTAAAGGTCTGTGGAAGCTGAACAGCTCCCTTTTGGTAGATGCAGACATTGTTAAGACAGTACAGGGAGCAGTATAAAGATTGGCAGACGTTACAAGATTTTTATGATACACGTGCACACTGGTGGGAGATGGTGAAGTGTAAAACCCAAACGTTTTTTAAAGCAGAAGGGAAAAAGAAAAATACAAACAAAATAGATGCATGCTTGGATTGCAGAAACACCTACAAAGGTATTTTAAGCTAAATCGGGAGGGCCTTGATTTTAATGAAGAGATAAGACAAGTTAAAGCAGAGTAATTGCAGAAACACAAAGTAAAGGAGTTATTTTAAGAAGCAGAGAAAGAGAACTAGAAGAAGGAGAAAAATGCACAAGGTACTTTTTAAAGAAAATTGTCAGCAAAGGGGAGGGTGTTTTAAAGCTTAAGAAAGCAGATGGTTTCTTCACTAGTAATACCGAAGAAGTTAAATCTACGGTGGAAGAGTTTTAAGGGACAACTGTATGGTAAGAAACAAATCGACACAAAACTACTGAACTCGAAAATTTTATGGACACAACTAAAATGAATGCTGAACCCTTATCTCACAATTTTACAATTTTAGAAATGCAAAAATGTATCAATAGTTTAAAAAAAATGGTAAGTCCCCAGGCTCAGATGGACTTCCTGTAGAATTTTATTTTACATTCTGGGACATTTTAGCACCTGACTTACTTGTGGTTTTCAATGACTTGGAAAATCTTGACAGACTTCCAGAAAGTTTGAGAGTAGGGACAGTGGCTCTCATCCATAAAGGGAAAGACAAAACTGACTTAAACAACTGGAGACCAATTACACTTTTAAATGTAGATTGTAAACTTTTTGGTAAACTTTTAAGTACACGTATGTCCACTATTTTAGAAGATGCAATTCATCTGGATCAAATCTGTGCTGTGCATAGAAGGAGGATCACAGACGGCCTCGTACTGATCAGAGACACCATCTGTTATGTGAGAGACAGAAACATTAGATTAATAGCACTAAATTTAGACTTTGATAAAGCTTTTGATCGGGTCTCGCACCATATGTTTTAGGTACTGCAAAAGGTGGGTCTTCATAAAAAGGTTGATATCTTGGGTGGGTCTGCTGTACAGGGATGTCAGTAGTCAATTTATGGTTAACGGGCGTTTGAGAAAAGCAGTAGCAGTGAACTGTGGTGTCCGTCAGGGTTGTCCTTTATCCCCTGTTCTATATGTGCTCTGTATAGAGCCACTGGCAGAGGTCCTGAGAAGGGATGAAAGAATCAGAGGAATTGGGATACCAGGTAGTGGGGGACAAATAAAATGTGTTTTGTACATGGATGATGTCAATATTTTATACACTGACCTTTTATCTGTAAATAGGATATTGGACCTAACTGAAATTATAGCACTTATGCACTTAGCACTTAGCACATGTCAGTTGGCAGAAGTGTACACAGACAGCCAGTACACTGCTGACCTCTACTGGTAAACCAAGTTACACATGCCACACTCCTAACTCATCTTTTGCAGTCAATTCATTATCCATCTAAATTAGCTGTTTGCAAATGTGAAGCTCACACAAAATCTACTGACTTAGTTTCAAATGGAAACAGATTAGCTGACCAGATTGCTAAAATGGCAGCAAAAGGAAATTATGGCACATCTTTTTTAGCAACAGAACAAGACCCTGAACTAATAAATAAAACTGTGCTAAAAAACATGCAAAATGCAGCCCCACAACAAGAAAAACAAATGTGGGAGACAAAAGGCGCCAAATTAAATGATGAATCAATTTACCATGTCAATGATAAACCTGTGTTACCTAAATCTTTGTTCAAAGCCGCCGCTGTTGTGGCCCATGGCAGTTGTAATAATAATAATAATAATAATAATAACAACTTATTTATAATGCACTTTACATTCACAGTGAATCTCAAAGTGCTACAAAGAGTGAACATCAGATAGCAGCAGGATAAAAGCAACCATAAAAGCAACCGAGAGCAAAACAACCAGGAGGATAACGCCACAGAATGAACACATCAAAAAAAACTTAAAATGCACAAAATGCAGATAAAATACTCAAATAAGAACTATGGGTAAATTAAAAAAAAAAAAAAAGTACAGTGCAATCAATTAAAAAACTGGGTAAAAAGAAAGGTTTTAATACCCTTTTTAAAACATGTCACAGTCTGTGGAGCCCTCAGATATGAAGGCAGGGCGTTCCACAGCCGAGGGGCAGCGCAGGAGAAAGCCCGGTCTCCTGTTGTGCAGGATCGAGACCTGGGAGTGAGAAGATGATGAGTGTTGGAAGAGCGGAGAGTGCGTGAAGGACAATGAGGGGTGAGAAGTTCTTTTAAATAAGATGGTGCATTACCGTACAAGCATTGGAAGGTGAGCAGATAAATTTTGTAAGTGATCCGGGCAGAAACAGGAAGCCAGTGAAGTGAACGGAGTACAGGGGTGATGTGCTCATGCTTACGCACTCTCATCAGGACCCTGGCAGCACTGTTCTGGACATACTGTAGTTTCAGTATGTTCTTGCCAGGAATCCCAATGAGGAGTGCATTGCAGTAGTCCAGTCTGGAAGAGACAAAGGCATGGACGAGCTTTTCTGCATCGGTGAAGGACAGTGTAGACCGAAGCTTTGCAATATTTCAAAGATGAAAAAAAAGAAGTTTTACATATAGGCTTTATATGGTTTTCAAAGGCGAGTTGTGAATCAAAAATAACACCAAGATTGGTAACTGTATTGGAAAGAGAAATGTTCTGGCCAGAGAAAGAGATACTGAGGATTTTTTGTTGTTGAATTTGGTGTGAAGTACCAATTTGAATTGCTTCCGTTTTTGAACTGTTAAGGTGAAGGAAATTTTGCTGCATCCATGCCTTTATCTCCTCCAGACAATCTGTGAGTGTGGAAAGAGAAGAAAGTGGAGAATGTGTCATGTGTCAACAGGGGGTATGATCACTCTAATTCAGAAACATTTCACCACGTATGGATTAGAGGCCTACTTAAAAAAAACTTTACATGAGAATCACTAACTCCTAATGGTCTGACTCCTTTTGAAATCATATATGGCAGACCATATTGATTACTTCTTTTCTCACCTGACCTAGAAAAGGCAGAAGAAGAGCAAACATTAGCAGATTACATGATCAAAACACTAAAAGAAAAAGATGTGTCAAAAGCAAATTTACTGCCTTTTGATTCCTCTCTCCCACAAGAAACACCACCTATCCAGCCAGGTGATTGGGTCTTCATTAAGGTCATCAAGAGAAAAACTTGGGCCTGTCCACATTGGGAAGGACCCTTCCAAGTCTTGTTGACCACCCCAACCGCTGTGAAGATTGTGGAGAGACCCAGCAGGACACATCTCAGCCATTGTAAGGTACAGAGAGTGCTGGACCCTTAAAGGTCATCAGAGTAGTGGGGAAGTCCGGTTTACAAAGGGTACGTGTCCTTTTAGAACACGTGGTCTCAAACCCGGTGAAGTAACCAACGATCCCTACTCTTTAGGACCTACAGGTTTAGTGTTTCTGTATTCCTAACAGTAATGGGGTATCTACATGCTAGGTGGATCCTCTGCTGTGTAATGGCTGTAGTATGTGGATGGAGTTTTTAATCATCCTACAGGTCCAAAAACAATCAGACAAAAGCGTTGGTCTGATACGGACAATCACGACAAGTGGACCTGGGATCCGAAGTATCCTCAAGATACTAATGCTTGGTATTGATATGCTAAGTTTAGTGCTAGAAAAGTGACTACAGAAGGCTGCTATGCATGTTCTCTGCTCCCACCCTCTTCTACTCAGGTACACCTGGAGGCAAAACCTATGAATACCACCGAAGCGAAATGCATGGCGTTCGTGGGAGCCCGGAACTACCAATATCCTGGTATAGTGACCAAAGACACTGACCCTGCTTGTCCAGGGATCAGGAATGGCACTTGTGATACTCTGTTCTGGGCCCAAACTAATGTAACAGTAAGGGGCACGTTGAAACCTCAGATACCTTACCTCACAAATCTTGACAGACTGAAATACATGTTATTCTCAAGGAAACCAGACCCACATGTGTAGCACCGATTCATGTTCCAAAGGAAGCCAATGGCTGGGAGCACTCAACATCACCAATCAGTGTTCCAGCGGACGTGCCATGGTCTAAGGAGAAGGAGCGCCTGTGAACATGTCAGCCCCATCAAACGGCACATACTTCATCCAGAATGGATGGTGACTCTGTGGACACAAAATCTACTCAACACTGCCGGTAAATTGGACAAGAGTGTGCGCTCCGGTTTGGGTAACAGACCACACTTTCCTCATTCGGCCACCAACTGTCAGAAGACACAAGAGAGGTAATGACTTTCACGCCCCACGACCCAATCTGGGAATCTGATGCTCGAAACGATCACAAACTTTGGTCAATAGGAAGCAAAGTTGTGCATGCCCTGTTTCCTAGGATCAGCATGGGAAAACATGCTCTGCGCATAGAGACAGTTATCGTTTTCATGCTTTTGTGAACATTTCTCTTGACCTAGAGGAGGCACAGAACCGAGAAATAGCAGCTCTCCGTCTGATGGTATTGCAGAACAGGATGGTGCTCGACTTGCTGAACGTAGCACAAGGTGGGACTTGCACTATGATTGGCACCTCCTGTTGCACTTATATCCCTAGCATGAATGACACTCATGCTGCTGAAGCCGTAACCTCACTGCATAACTTGAAAGACACTCTCAACCACGACACTGAACAATAACTGGGACCTGTGGTCTTGGTTCACCTCTGGACCATGGTGGCACCTACTTCTGAAGATCTGTAATCTGATTCCGACGGTGTTGATTTTGTTTGGTGTGCTTTTCTCTTGCATAATACCATGTCTGAAAAACATGATGTTACGCTTTTACAGGTTTCCTTATCAATCTGCACCAGGCCAGGTTTGACCAGAATGATGATGACTATGTTCCACTGAGACCAGTGAGTGGACAAACCAGTCTATGACAACTTGCTGAAATAGAATGCAGTGTGATTCGAGTACTGAAAATATGAAAAATAAGTACTGAGATGATGCGTTTGCTCTTCTTCCAGCTTTATTCTGTGTATTAAAAAGAAATATTTTACTGAGTTTCACATTCTTTGATTCATCTTGAAGAAATTTTTACATACGTTTTTGATTGTACTGGTTCATAAAGAACCAAATTTTACATTTTACTTTGCTTTTTGTTTTGAGTTTAAAATGATAAACAGGAGGGAATGTTAAAGGTTTTTGAAGGTCTTATGCATCTTATCATATTAAACTTTATTTTTACGAGTTCAAGCTTTAAAGTTCATCATGTACTTCTTCCTGTGTTTTTGTCGTGCGTGCAGATCTATCCTCAGCAAGTCTGTACAAACTTAAATTATCAGGAACTGTCTGTTTTGCTGATGTAAGATGCTCGATCCAAGCCTCATCACGCGACACCAGATGCTCTATAAAAACTGCCACTTGTTTTGATTTTATTCCATTCCTACTTGCCTCAATAAAAGACGAGCTCAGACAGTAGGAAGTTGGAGTTCACTCTGACCATAAGTTGGATGAGCTTCCCTCTTTGCAAAGAAACTAAAATCTCACTCCGTTTGTCCTGTGTGAATTTTTTCTTTAAGGTTTATGGGAGCATTACCCAACAACAAGCCTACACTTGAAATACGCTACTGACCCATCCAGACACCCTAAAACAACAGGCATGACTAGATTCTGGATGGGCTCTTATCTGAGGAAATTTAATTTAATATCAAAAGACCTTAGAGTACCAGTATCTTTTCACCTGTCAGATCCATATAGCTGCATGCAGAAATTTTTAAAGTATTTTAACTTAGAAAAGGAAAATACAAAGACTTTAACCAAACATCGTGCACTGATCTCTCTTGTGCAGGAGCGAGAACCAGTGAGCAACATACCGGGTTTTCACAGGCAGTGATCCCGCCAGAGTGTGGGAAAATGTAAATCACGCTGCTCTGCCCAACAGACTCAGAGACCTGTCATGGATGGTGGCTCATGGGATCCTCCCAGTCAGAGCCGTCATGCACTCCCGGGGAATGTCAGCAATCTCAAGCTGTTCCCGACCTGGCTGTGGCGCTCCAGTCGGTGAGACATCTGCTCTGGGAGTGCAGTGTTGCCGTAGACCAGAGGGCAACAGCCGACTCCTCACAATTCCCGTACTTGCCGACAAGGGAGGTCCTGACAGCACAGCTAATACTGTATGGGGTGAGCCAAATGACACTGGGAAGGAAGGAATTCACAAAGCAATGGCTCACCCTGGCCGCCATCAAAGACGCCATGTGGACCCACAGAAACTTGCTGGTAAGGAAGCACATGCAGATCCCCCCGGTGGCTGTGATCCATATGGCTGCAGCAACCGTCCATGAAGTTGAAGCTGCAAGTGGCAAACCTAGGACACAGCCACAAAGAAGCATCGCCTCTGTGCCCATTCGGAGGGAGGAGTCTGTGCTACACGCGGAAAGGTCAAAGCAGCAGCGGCCTGAATCTCCGGGAGAGGCAGGTGGGAAGGAGCATCAGGGTGGGGATCCACACTGAGCCGAAAACGGGGGTCAAGAGATATTGGGAGGAAAGAAGCCATGACAACTTTGATAATGAACTGGGCTTGCTTCTGCACAATTTGGAGAGGATGTCAAAAATGGTTTAACAAGTTTCCTAAAAAAAATGGAAAGCTGAATTGGGAAAGTACAGCACTAAACTTTTAGGATGATTTACTGATTTACATACTTATTGTGTTTTAACCCTGAAGTCTTAAAGAAAATATATAACAAAATGTTTTTGTACCAATAAACACACACGTGTGTGTGTGTGTGTGTGTATGTATATATAATTTTAATCTGTTTTTATCAGTTTAATATCCGATACGTCCCCTACCCAGGGACCATATATTAAATAGATTTTTGGAACAGGGAGATGGAATAGGGGCTTGCTCCGTCCACTCCACGTATCGACCTGGTATTGCAGTATCTCCAGGACCGGTGCACCCCCTCCGTTTGTTAAATGAAAACAATATTTGCTGGATAATCCTCTTGTTGTTCTTGTTGTTCTTGGTTTTGGTAGTGGTCTTCTTGTTGTTCTTGCTGGTGGTGTTACACTAAAAATACTACACAATTTACTGCAATTTACTACTCTTGACATAAGTACTGTGTTGTAAATAATCAATAGTGCCCTCTGCTGGATTAAAGACATCACAGCAAGTTTTTACTCAGTCTGTCATTAGTTAAACTGACCTAAAACGACCCGAGTCAAATCAGTTTGTGTATTCTAATTTATTTAAACAAACAAAAAAACATAATATGACTGACCATCATCCAAACTGTGTTTTCATTTTCATCTCAACACTGCTCATTGTGTGACACAAAGAAGAGGAAACTTTATTTTCACGCGCTGCCCTTGCAAGAAGTGTTCCATAAATCAATTTGAATTTGCATTTCCAAGCGGTGCAGGAGAGTGACGTCGGTGGCAACACTTCCTTTGCTGCCTCCGTACTGTTTGCTGCATCTAGGTCCTGCTCGCAGTGTGAGGCAGCAGAGGAATTAATTTATGGAACACTTTTTGCAGGGGGTGGGGCCGTGAAAATGAAAAAGCAGTTACAGTATTTAAATTGTAGAGAAGTGCAGCAGGACATCAAAGGGATGTCACCGCTCTGCTCTGCTCATCACAGAACTCTCATTAGCAGGATTTTGGATTCTGGACATGCCTCCAGAATCGGTCCTAAAGTGCAGTACAAATCCAGGCTGAGCAGAGTTGGGGCTGATTAGGAGCAGAGCAAATAAGCCATTAGTAAAAATAATGAATGGATGGATGAACAAACTGTAGCCCACCTTTATCCTCTGTACTAGGTAAGGGCCTCCTAGATTCTTATATGTAGCATTAAAGACTAACTTAACTACTCTTTTAATTTGCTGAACATCAAGTCTAACGTATCCTTTAACACACTCAATTATCTCCTAATTTCCTTTCAATACACACCGTGGTCATGAACACACACACACACACTCTGTTAAACTAAAAATAACCAAACCATAAGGTAAATGTGAACTCAGTTTACTTAATGCGTCTTTAAACGTTGAACAACTTACACAATACAAAACAAACTGCATCTGTAGTCAGATTATTCACTGTAAATCTTCAACTCTGTGTGAGGGGCCCACCCACCAATCAAACACACAGACACCTGCTGGCTTATCCAGCTCTAAAACCTTAAAGTTGCAGACCTGAGTGAAGCTTGGGAGCGGTGAGGCCCAAAACTTTATAGCCGTTTCACTCTTTGAGCAAATAAATAAAACAAAGCAGTACCTGGTTTAGTAGTTCAGTACATACAGACTCTGGTCCCAGTTCAGGTGAAGAGGAAAACCAAACGATGTTCTAAGGTGGTGATGCAATCATCCTTCTGCTGGTCCAGGGTTTAACTCCAATGGGCAATGTAAAGGAGTAGGAAAGAAAAATATATATAATCCAAAGGCACTCTTCTGGCAGTCCATAAACACTCCAGTTATGACTAATCTTCACATCCAGGTCAGAAAGATGAAGAGCAGTCTCCTTAGAAAGCTGAACAAACTAAACTAGGATTCCTGTGCAGCATTCACTTAGCTAGCACATGCTAAATGTTCAATGTTAAACTGTCTTAAAGTGCAAAAACTAAGAACTGCAGAACAAACTTCAAGCTGAAATGTCCCAATAACCATCAAACAAGTGTCCATTACCAATCACTGCGTTAACAATCAGGAAACTTATTTAATTACTCCAAGCTGCAACACCTGTTACCTCTGGTGTGACTGGCTCCCAGTCACTCTCATCAAGCTACCCACTGACTGCTCACACTTCCTTTGGCTTTTCACAATAAAGCACAAATAAAACACATCAACAAAATGTTATACTTTTCTTGCTTTTAACTTATGTTTGTGTGTTTTAAGCAGTTTTTAAGCATTTTACAACATAAATGAAATACAATTGTAGCTATATTTACAACATATTTAACTTAGAGTTTTTAAATTTTCTTTAAACTGTCACATATTTTATGAATTTAAGCAATGCACTAAAATATTTGTGTTAAAACCTCATGGCTCATCCATCAATCAGCCACTTGTGTCATGTCCAATCTTACTTTGAAAATCCGTGATATATCGAACACGCGAAAAATGAACATTGAAGTAGCGAGGGACTAGTGTACATATAAACTGTAATTTGCAACTTGTTTAAATATTAATTTTACGTCCGTCGTAGCTGTTGTCCAGCAGAGCCTCCACAGCTTATAGTTTGGACAATGCTCAACATTTGTTATTGATCCCATACAAATAGTGGATCAATGTCGCAGACATCAATAAACATATTGTGTTATGATTACAGTGAATCAATAAATAAGACCAAGAGTTTTATTTTTATGAATTCAAGTAAAATTGAGGACAGAATCTTGGCAGATAGAAAAATACTTTTTTATGCTATATATATATATATATATATATATATATATTAGGGATGCACCGATCCACTTTTTTTTTTTCGATCCCGATACCTAAATCTAAATATCGGCCGATACCGATCCAGTTCCGATATCATGATCATCATTGATTTTATGAGGCTGTAATAATCTCCTCTCAAGTCTCCTCTATGTGACCCTGTGATGGACTTGCGACCCGTCCAGGGTGTCCCCCGCCCCTCGCACAGTGATTGCCGGACATGGGCACCGGCGACCCCCGTGACCCAAAATGGAATAAGCGGGTAAAGATAATGGATGGATGGATGTTGGGCTCTGTTTATCTTTCTGTCTGATCCTGCGTGTTTTCTGGCTGCAGGTGCTGGAGATGTTTAGGAAACGAGACGAACGAGCCGGAGGATATTTTAACATTGTGGACCTTCCGAAGATGCTGTGCCTGGTGAAGACGGACACTACGGACGGGAAGAAATCGGTGGTTTTCAGACGGCTGAGGGGATGGCTGCTGGAAATCTGCCCAGAGCTGAGCTGAGGTTTACGTGGCATTTCCAGGCTGCTACAGCAGAGGAGGAGGCAACGTCCAGGTCATGGTTCATTAAGGAAGTTGTCATCAGCCTGTTCAAACTAGGAGTTCAAGACGGGTTCTGCATACAATGGAACCAGCAGGAAAAAAACTTTTGACACAACCTTCAGGAATGAGGAGACTTTCAAAAATGTGGAGGAGATTTGCCAAGTGTCTGCTGGGCTAAAGCCTCTGCCCTTCTTCAAGATTTTAAACTTGGATAAGGCAAACTTCAGAGTTATCAACATCCATATGTTCAACCTCTTTGTGACGGATTTGGCCTTGGCAAATTTTCTAAGTCAATATGGAGAGGTGGTGTCAGCGGCATGGTATGTGAATGACCCAATGGGATTTTGGACTGGAAGGAGACAATACCAAGTTCTTCTGCACCAGGATTCAAGTATCTCAGGAGACCTGAAGCACTCACCTGCAATATTTAATGTGGGTGGAGACAGGGGATATCTGTTTTATGCACGCCAGCCTCCATTTTGTAGGAGGTGCAAGCAATTTGGACACGCAGCGGCGGGGTACACCTCGATCAGCTGTGCACACTACAGTTTGAGGGACCACAGTACCGATGAGTGCCCTATACATAAGGCTTGCTATGGATGTCTCGGCAAAGACCATTTGTATATGAACTGTCCAGAACGCAGGCTATGTGTTTAACTTTTATAGGTAAGGTCCTGGTTTTGAAAGTAGACATAATGCCAGTTTTGTTGTATTTAGCATACATATACCCCCTTCCTAAGCATAGGAGGGGGGTGGGGGGGGACTTATGAGAATGGTTTTTGAGTTTGTTTGGGGTGGGATGTATGAGTATGTGGCTAGAGCTCGTATGTTGGCTGGGATAGAGGGAGGGATATGCCCACCTCCCATTGAAATTGGACAGTATCTTTATCTCGTTTTAGTCTAGGAGGTTGTTGAAGCCAGTTGTTCACCCCTCTGGCTATTTCTTGCACCTCTTTTTTTCACAGACAGCGGACAGTTTGGAAAAATTTGTCCCCTCAGGCAGAACAGCTGCCATGGCACTACCGTCATGCAGCGGATTGGTTACGGCTCCACGGTGGATCACTGGAAAATGAGGCACTTTTGAACCATAAAATCCTGTACAGCAAGATGAGGCAGAGGGTCTTTGACTCTCCAGTGATTCCAGCAGATGTCTGGCTGCGGGTGCAACTTTGTGGGCTACATAATGGTCTTGAAGATTTGAACTGGCTCTGTCTTCACAGTCGGATGTCTGTGCAAGATACTATGTATCGGCATGGGTTGGCAAGATCTCCTTTGTGCCCACGTGAGTTGTGCAACGAGGATGAGACAGTGAGGCATGTAATGTGGGACTGTGCCTTTGCGAGGCAGGTGTGGGACAATCTTGTCCCCACCATGGCGAAGATCAGTTCAGGTTTGGTGTTAAGTTGGGGAACCATAAACAGAGGCAAAGTGTTAGAGATAGGAAAGAAAATTTTTGAATAAAGTAGATGCCATTTCCTGCATTCTGGTGTATTTTAATGGCTGTTAAACATCTAGTTTTACCTACATAAATAAACACTTGGATTCAATAAATATTTTAGAGCTAATGGCACAACAAGAAGTAGCCTGACCAACAGCTGATTCAATTAATTAAAAATATTATATATTCAAAGGTGACGATTTGATGCTCACATTAAAATTAAATGACTGTAACTTAGTTGACTTCAAATGCAATAAGATTATCAATAAATATTTTCAACAAAGGATTTACTGATTATAACAAGGATTCCTTCAAGAAACCTCCCAATATAAATCATAAAACCATTATGACTTCTGCTCATTCTAAATTTGTCAAATGGCCTAAATCTCCTAAAGTGAAGGAGAATAATTTTAAAATAATAAATAAGATATATCCTGTAGCCATGTTTCTTGAAAAATATTTAAATTTGAGGTTTATTTGTGTGCCATTTGTAAATCAGATTAATCCCTCAAGCATTTTTTTTTATGTCAATATAAAGTGTTTGGTCAAACATCAGAAACTGGATTAATCTCAAACTTAACATTCCTTCTTTTCATGCTGATGCCCATTTTACTTTATGTGGATAACTGAAACTCTGTTTTCTCTGATGCCATAAATATAGTCGTACTTACAGCAAAGTACCACATTCACTGTAGTAAGAGGAGAGATAATAATCCCTCCTTCCACTGATTTATGAACAATTTGAAGTCATACTTCTTCATTAAGTAGATTAAAAAACTGCAAAACTGCTAGAATCATCTCACAACAGATAAAAACTTAAGTTTTAATTAAAACAAGAAGTTTCTCAAGAAAAAAAAACTGATGAGGTTGTCAGCAGGTAAGGGGCGTTTACCTTCGGGACAAACTGAGGTCGTCTACTGGTCAGTTACTGACACGCCTTCTTTTTCATTCATTCATTCAACCTTTATTTAAACAGATAAATCACATTGAGCCTCGAAGACTCATTTACAAGTGAGACCTGTTTGGACAGACAAAAAACAGTGGTTAACTAGACACATGTAGGAGTTGGAGGCGCCTTCTGGATTGATTGACAGGACACGCCGTCGAGGATCCGATTAAAAAGAAGAAGAAAAAAGCCGAGAGCTGCAGCAGCCGCGCTGGGAGGAGGCGGGGCGGTCCAAATGCAGCGGAAGCACAGCGGTATCTCTGTGCAGCGCAGCGCTCCAAGTAAGCTGGAGATAACCAGATATTCTGCTTGTGCCCTCACTGTCCTGGGCCCCTTAGAGATCGTGGGCCCCTGGGCACTTGCCCAGTTGCCCATATGGTTAATCCGGCCTTGATCGTACCCTGTAAACCCGGGATAAGTGGAAAAACCGTGAAGTAGGAATAGACAAGTAGTAAGTTTTTTTTTTTTTTTCATTTAGCCTTTATTTATCCAGGTTAGTCTCATTGAGCCACGAGAACTCATTTTCAAGAGAGACCTGTTTAGGGAGCACATGGTGGGGGTTAAGGGCCTTGCTCATGGGCCCAGAGTGGGGCGAATGAGGGTGGGGGCAAGTATGAGTGTTTCACCTACCCCACCCACAATTTTGATGTTGTCGGGGCTGGGGCGTGAACCGGCGATCTTCGGATCACAAGCCCACCTCTCTAACCTCTGCGCCACCACTCCCCAAGTAGTAAGTAGTAGTTTATTTTTATTATATGTATATATAATAAATATAAAGGCGTTTAAAACCCTTCCCACACACTTGCAATATTCTAAACAATGTTTCTAAACTCTAATCGCTTTAAAAGTACAGAATGTCATGATTTCAGCTCCCTGCCTCCTCTGCTCTTTGCCGCCTGCAAGCGTTCCTGGCCACGCCCACTTCTCCGCTCTGCACGGTGAACAGCTGATCAGCTGCAGCAGAAAGTTTATCCTGCAGTACGGGCTGCACAAAGGTGCAGTAAGCGCTAAATAATTTATTTTAAATAAAAATAACATGCCGATCGTGCGGCTCATCCATCAATCAGCCAATTGTGTGTCATGTCCAATCTTGTTTTGAAAAAACCACAATAGAGCGAGTCTGCGATAAACGAACTGCGAAGTAGCGAGGGACTACCAACCCTGATGTCCCCCGACTCAGCTTACTCCAAGGAAGACGTGCCGGTGGGATTGAGAAGGTCCAAGAAGTTTTCCTTCCACCTCCCAATGACATCACTGGCTGAGGTCAACAGCATTCCACCTTCACTTCACCTTCACCTTCAGCTAGAGTCTGACTAATGTTCACCCTTTTCTTTTATGCTTTTAAGAAAAAAAAACAATAATTAATGAATTAATGATGAATTAATGATTGTATTTGTATTGATTGTATTGAATTAATGAATTAATCCTAACTGGGCCTTCCTGAAAGCAGAGAAGAAACCCAAACAGGACTCCAGTCAGCCAACAGGTGAAAAGGAGGAACCCAGACCAGTGGTCATTCCATATGTTGAGGGGGTATCAGAGAAACTGAGATGTTTATTTTCTAAACATAACGTCCCAGTGGCTTTTAAACCCCAAAATACATTACGGCAAAGACTGGTTCATCCCAAAGATCCAGTCCCCCAGCACAAACAGAGTAATATTGTGTATGTTGTTCAGTGTCAGGAGGGTGATCAGTCTTACATCAGGGAAACTAAACAGCCACTGGCCAAAAGGATGGACCAGCACAGAAGATCAACATCATCAGGCCAGGACTCTGCGGTCTACACTCATCTCCAGGCCAGCGGTCACTCTTTCAAGGATGAAGATGTTCACATCCTGGACAGAGAGGAACGATGGTTTGAGAGAGGAGTAAAGGAGGCCATCTTTGATCATGTGATCAGCTGGTTTTGGTTGTCAGCAGCAAAACTGGTTGATCCACTCTGAGAAGGTGCTATTTAAGAGACTGGGCTGAACACAGCTCCTCAGACTGAGGAAGTCTTTTGGATGAAGGACGAAACGTTTCTACAATTTTTTTGTTTTGTTTATTTGAATGTCCAGAGGACCAGATTTAACTTTTTTTAGATTTTTCTACCTGGATTATTGAGCATGCATCAGGAAATCCTTAATGAAGTTCGTTTTATTTGATTACGACAGGTGTGAACATAAATAATGTTTATGATTGTTTGCAATCGTTCTGTTTAGTTAGTGTAGCATGAAGCAGCACTCTTCTAACTATGGCCCCTGACCCAGTGATGAGCAAAAGAAACTTTTATGAAGCACTGAACCATCCATCCATTATCTTTTACCCGCTCCTTCCATTTCAGGTCACGGGGGTCGCCGGTGCCCATGTCCAGCAATCACTGTCTGAGGGGCGGGGTACACCCTGGACGGGTCGCAAGTTCATCACAGGGACACTAAGAGACAAGCACCATTCGTTCTCTCACACCTAGGAACAATTTAGAGTCACCAATCAGCCTAACATGCATGTTTTTGGTCTGTGGGAGGAAACCGGAGCACCCGGAGAAAACCCACGCATGCAAGGAAGCATTGAACCAGTTGGACCAAATGATTCAAAAA